GGGGAAAACAGAGAACACTGCACTAGGTGAGCGGAATAATTTACAGCTGTCAAATGTGCTGTTTTCATCATGCTTCCCAACAGGTTTTCAGCCCTGAAGCTTATGATCTAAATTAGACAAAAAGTAATCAAAGGTGGAAGGTTGGCGTGTTTCTGTACTGTTTGTTTGCCAATATCAGCTCGTTTGAGGTGGGTTTTTTGTCCCTTCCAGCCTACACCTGCTCACTTCCTCGCTGTCGCCTTTAAAAAGAATTGTGAATGTCAAAAAATCCACCCCCAAGCTATGAGTCTGAGTCTAGACATGATAGCTGCTTTCTTCTTCTTTCTGAGGAATGATTTCCCATTGAAAATGCCAGTAATTGAAGAAGTCAACGTACCAGAATATGTGTTTTATGCTTTCCCAGGATCTCTTCAGACCCCTTGATTCTGCGACGTGTCTTTATCCATCAGTGTATTTTCAGACCCGCTTCTGGAGCACAGAAATAATTGCTGGGGAGCACCAAATGCCTTGGATCTAGCAGTTCCCAAAGATTTGCATGCCTGAGTTTGGAGGTCCACGTTTTTAGAGACAAGAAATAGGACGCTGGACACTGAGCGAAGAACAGCTGTGGAAAGGATCTTCTTCATACGGTTATTTCAGAAGAGAGGAGCTGGCAAACGTGGCCAAAGCAGCAAGGTGAAACGTGCCTCTCCAGTCTGTCCAGTCTCAAGACTGAAGTGAGATGGACCTACTCTGCTCCCTGTGCTGATGGCAACTTTTTAGAGCATGCATCGTATTTTTTCTCTCCTGTTGAGACTGAGAATTTCCCCCTATATCCTGAATCAGGGAGATATGTCCCCAGGTTGTAGGACTGAGCCTGAGCTACTGCTCCTGGCAGCCCATGACCTTTGTATAAACCTAAATCTAACCTCTTCTCATAGAATCATAGGATGGGTTGGGTTGGGAGGGACCTTAAAGGTCGTCTAGTCCAACCCCCCTGCCATGAGCAGGGACATCTTCAACTAGAGCAGGTTGCTCAGAGCCCCGTCCAGCCTGACCTTGAACACTTCAAAGCTGGTGGCATCCACAGCTTCTCTGGGCAACCTGTTCCAATATCTCACAACCTCCACAGTGAAGAATTGTCTCTTCTCTTGTCTTCCCATCAACAAAATACCAATGACACCTTTCAGCGTCGGTGATGATTATCGGTGCCCGTACAGTGCTTTGAAGATGTCCTGTGCAGGACCACACGCCACGGTGTGATCAGATGGGAAATTCTCTCTCTGGGAAAAGTGATTTAGTAACATGCCTATCTCTGTCCCACATGAGGTCATCAATTTGGACTCTTAGAGTAGTTCAGAGCATAAGTATCCAACTTGTACTTGTTGATCCAAGATGAAAGTAGCATGGAAATGCGTCTCCATTCCCAGGCTTCTACATCTTTAAGCTCGGTAAGGAAAAGGACAACCTCTATTTCTACTTAAGAGAAAGTAAAATGCGTCAAAGTAGTTGCAGTAAGCCACGCTGACTTAATATCAGGACTTGAAATACACCCCAGGAGTCCTGTTTAGCATTGCTTCGCTGGCCCCCACCAGTCCTGTGCCCACATAGGCGCTGCAAGGCGTGGTGGAGCTGACTTTGTATGTCCCGTGCAAATAAATAGGGATGTCTTACAGTCCGAAAATCTGAATAGTCAATGTTTGGGCTTCTGTGTGGTGCTAATCTGTGGGAATAGTTAGCCACAAATACTGAGAGTCTCCAAAAAAAAGACACATTGGGTTTTCTGATGGGACTAGCAGGCCTTTAGGGGGGTGCTCTGGCTGGACAGGAATGGTTCAGAGGTTTTTTTGAAAAATACTGAATCTGCAGGGCTGAGGGTTTGGTTTCCTTTGCAGCATAAAGTTATCTAGGACCACGCTGCTGCCGGGGGATTTCGATGCCACCTCACCTCTGAACATGCCTCCCTGCCATCCCCTTGCATTTTCACCAGTCATTTTCTGTAGTGAGTTATTTTCAACCATGTTGTTGAGCTGATCCTAGCTAATTTTAATCATAGAATCACGGAATCACAGAATCACTAAGGTT